GAAATTAAAAACTACTTAACAATTAAATAGCAATAAGTCACTATTAATTATTTTTTAGATGGTTAATCATGCAATTCAGTTATTCCTATGTAGAAATATCCCAGTTAAGTAAGCAATAAACGAACACAAGAATTGATCAAGGAAAAATCCAACTGGGTAAAAACTCCGGACACTTTGCTAGTCAACAATCCATTATAAACGATTTATAACTTACAATCTATCAGATTAGACGACGACACGTACTATTTGATCTCCTAATTGCAATTCCAACAGCTTTCTTAGATTTTGTGTTCCTGCACCAACTCCCAGCTGCAATTTCCAAAACTCTCTTGAATTGCGCTCTCATGCAACAACTCCTAACTTTGTGAAATCGTCTATCTCTTGTAGATGCACGAAAAATACCGCATTCTTCAATGACTGGAACTCCAGTCACCTTCCCTTGATTTTCAGAAACTCTGATAGATATGAAGGAAGCAGCGTTTGGTATTTGAATTATGAATTCGATGTTTTTTCATCAAAAGTCAATAACAGGACGAAGGTTGAAAGCACAATATATGAAGATGATCTCAATGGAATGTGTTTCTTTCAATAATCAACCTTATCAAACCGTTCTGTAATGTTTAGATATTTATACGTAGGATAGGGAATGAATGAGTTGGACAAAAAGCCTTTAAAATATGAAATAAAAATTTTCCTAATGACACTATCGTTCAAGCGAAGGGTGAGCGACATGTTGTCGCTCGAGTGAAGGCAAGGCGACAGGTGGGCGACGCAGTTTCTGTTTCTAATACTTGAGCCAAACCTTAGCAAAAAGTTAGCGAAATTCCTACGTCGTTTTTCATTCTTTTCTATTCTCGAACCCTACACCTAAAATATCACAACTTTCATTAATTGCACACTACTTCTTGACTTTTACAACATATCAATTTTGATCCTTTTTGTTCACAGATTTGACAATTACATTAAATACCTAACAAACTTAATCACCTTGGATTGACGTAGATCAACTAGTGCCTTATAATGCCCAACAGATGCCATGCTTCCAAGATGCTTGTACACAAATGGTTCTCCTAGAACCATATCTTCTGCGGAGAAAGCTTTGCCTGCATTCTGCTTTTGAATTCTGTAGAACAATTCAACAAGAAATTTCCCTTCCTGTTCTGCAACCTGTTTAAAATTCGTAGTTATACTCCCATCCTCGTATCTTTAAGTTTTATAGATTTGAGTTGGCAATATAAACTAGATACGATTATATAGGGAACAACATAGAAATTTACTATCCAATTTAGATTAAACTAACCTGAGCCAGAGCTGGAAGAACTGGCCCCCTGTCTGTTCAAGAAAACCAGCACAATCTCCAAGTGCAAACACATCTTGAATGGATGGAACACCAATTCTGTACAATTCGAGAAATTTAGTGGACACAATCCTAGATGGATGTATCAAAATGAGAGAGAGAACAATTTCAAAACACAAAGATTATACCTTCCACCAGGAGACTTGGGGGAGATTTAGTGATCTAACAAATTCGAAGAGACCAACCCCAGTAGACCAAGGAGGCCATAAGGAACATCACTTCCATCACTAAGGATGATCTTATTTGGGTGCACCTCCTTGACAACACCTCGTACAAGGCGAATTCCAACCTAGGATAGATTAAGGATCAATAGTGATTTAAACTAACAAAAAAACATTTCTGACGATTAAAGACATAGTGACTTGAGTTACCTTTGTTAAGTGCTTTGTAGCATATTGCCTTAAGACGACATCAAACGATGACAAAATCTCATTTGCCTGTAACAGAAATAAGATGAAAACAACGAAGAAAAAAGACAAGATTCCTGTAAGAACAAACCAAACAAGTGTGAAAAGACACTTGTTATAAAATTATACCTCAATGAGAGTAACATGAATGTATTTTTTGACACGAGTATACCACTGATGAACAACTCTCATGATAAAATCACTCACTTCACCGCTGAATTCCACCCCAGTAGGTTCACCTCCAATAACAATGCAATGTAGCAGACGTTCTTTCTCTTCCTCTGACATTCCTGTAATGATTTACCGGATCCAACTTTACTTCTATTGACAATTTCAATGCTTATTTTTAGGACGGTGTCAATTAGTTCATTTCTTTAACATGACTGAAGCTTACGCAATCTTGTTCCTTCAGATAATGCAAAGGGAATTATGCACAAGAGCTAGTTAAACCAAATAAAGCCACTCTTCTAGGTATTCTTCGCCAAAATACTTGCTGTTCATTATGGTCAGCATATATCAACCGAGTAAAAAAAGTTTGCATTTTTAAGCAATATTTACTCTGACTAGCTCATGCCAATATAAAAAATGTTAAGCATAAAAGCTTTGTGCCTCACTTGTTGATGCAGGGGAAGCTTATAGGAAAGACAAAAATTTCATAAAAAGAATTTCAATCAAGAGAAATTCAAGAAAAACTTTATTTTCTTCAAAACTGAGCTGCTTCAAAAGGTTTACAACGTTTAAATAGCGAAA